CTTAACCCAACCTGGACTACCACGTGATTATTTCGCGTGGATCGCCGACCTAGTGTGTCACCAGCTTCCGGGGCGGAAACTTGCAGCGGTTCGCTCTGAGCCGGACATCGGCGTGCTGAGTAGGCTAGTAGTGCTGCCTGAATGAACGGAAACAAATTTATGATCTTCTGACTCACGTTATGTTATAGGTGGATTGAAGCAGGGGGTGGGTTGCATCGTGTTTGGTATGCGTATGACCCCGGAAAGCCAAGCTGTAATTTCGAGACCAGACCATCTCATTTGGATAAGGACGAGAACGTCGCCTCCTCTGGAAACAGTGCCGAATTCGAAAATCGATGCGATATTTCAAGCTTGCCTTTGCCGATCGTTCAAAAAAGGAGGGGTAAAAAGACTAAGGGTCGCGTCTAGAAACCTCTGTACTCTGTACATAGTACAAGAGGAATAAAAGCTCTCTCTTAAGGAATGATGCGGACCCGTACAGGCGAGATCATGCATATGCCACGTGTTAACTGTGACATCCCTGCAACATGGGTGCATAAAATTGGATATAGCTCATGGGAATATGCCACATCTAGGATTTCCGTCAACGGTTGAAGTGTTGCAAGAGGAAACCAGCAGCACTACTCCGTACGGAGTACTCCATTTCCTATTTTGAGAGTTGCACTGAGCTTGGCTGGCTACTGATATCTGCGGGCAACTCTGATTCTGGGCCATCCGCACTACTGTTTGGGCGGGCAGATAACGTTTCGGTTCATCGACGCTCCTGGATTCAGATCCTCACCACGACTCGCGATCATGGAAGGGAACCAGCGGGAGGCTCCCTCGTGAGAGGCGTTCCGTGGCTAGCTGCCGCAGACGGAGCTAGAGCTTCTTTTTCTTTAAAATTAAAAAAGAAAATACGAAGTAGGAGTCCATAATAGTTGTTCAAACAGAATAAAAGCAGCCACCATAAACGGGTTGTTCTGCAAACCGAGGAGCAGCCGCGGCTCTGGTTTCTCAACGCTTTCCTGCTCCCGCATCCTGTTTGCTTCGTTGGCGGGGAACCAAGTCAATCAGTGGATTCCCAACCAAACCGACCCGCCTTTTATGATGCAGTATTAGCATTGGATCAGCGACCCATCTGTGGGCTGGGAGAGAATAAGTTCCTCTTGCAGTTTGATGTTGAGGCCAGTCTGGAGCTGGCGTCGAGATCTCCCGTCATTTCTGGAAGGTCGATTTGGCATTGATCTTCTCGGGTGCAAGCTTGTCTTACAATACCGTAAGTGACGGTCCAAAACATGGGTGGGTAGCATTCAATCTTACTAGTGGCACAACTCCCAGCTACTAGGATTGGTAACCTAGATGTAATTATGTTACGGCTGCCCGTCCAACAAAGAAGATCGCTTGCTCCATGTCACTACCCCGGGTCTTTGTCCTGCACCATCGTTAGATAGTTATGCAGGTGCCATCTTGTCAGAAATAGCACATCTACATACATAATTAGACACTTTGAGAACGCGATCTCCGTGCCTGGCTTGGATCAATGTCGAGAATGTGTGTAAGGACTTTGCCGCCTGCCTTGATTACTAGTGCTGATGATACCGTCAGACAAGCAGCCCTAACAACCTCTGACAAGGGCAGAACCCCTGGCTAGGTAGTCCTGAAACACTGGACTAGCATCCCATTTTCCGGATAGCGCCCATCAGGATCCACCTAGCGGAAGGCCTAGAAAACAAGCTAGAATCACCGTCGCGCGAGCTAATTAAGATGAAAGAGGGTGACGGTGACTGGCTGTCTCCTAGACTACATGTCTGTATTGGTTGCACTGGATAGGGCAAAAATGATGACTCTCATTTATTGACCCAAAAAAAAAAAAAAGGAAAACGTTAAAAATTCGATTGGCCGTAACCTCGTTGGCCAAAGAAATCCAAAGCCTAGGTAGATCCAAGAAAAGCTCCCTGTGATTTGTTTCGGGAGTCTGCCCGCTCTTAGTTGCTTATTCAAGGCTGCATAACTCTCGCAAGGCAGGATGCGTTGCGTCTATTTGTTTAAAACCTTATCTGGACAATCTGAGAGATTCCAATCAAAGGACTCTTTTGCGGAGTGGGAAGGTCACAAATGTCTGGAGTATGGCGGCACAGCCAAAGAGCTCCAGCAAGCTGCGATCGCAAAGGGGACTGGAGGATCTGTCACAATTCTAAAATTAACGGCTTGACAGCTCGACTGCCTGCGAGATGCACAGCTCCGGCGGGAGAGGAGGACAAAAAGAAAAGCAATCAACATACTCCGTAGAAAATGGAAATATTACCAAAAAAGAATTTTTTTTTTAAACTACGGAGCTACTACGGGGTGGAGAGGACATTATTGGCGTTACAAGTCTCTACGGTAATTAGTCTCCAACGGCAGGTATCCACAGGGTTCCTTTTTCCAAGAATACATCCAGGCACAAAGAACACTAATCCCTAACCCAACTAAAATAATGACAGGTAAAAAAAAAAAGTCAAAAAGCAAAGAAAAAAAAAAATTATTTTAGTTGTCTGAGCCGGGATAGGGGTGCCAGTCGAACAAGATTGCTGTTTCGTATGGACTCTGGACTAGTCTTGATAGTATTAATACATCCTTCCGCCCTCCCGCTGGCTCGGTTGAGATCTTTTCTTCCCCTTCTTGATATTTTTGATTCACCCTCGTCGGCATCCTTTTTGGGCCCTTGAAGCTGGTTTCTCATCTCCGCCACTCCTGCTTGCTATCTAATACTACTCCACACCACTCTCGCCAGCCAAAGCCTCAGTGCCTCGGTTCCAGCATCCTGCCCAGCGGTTGCCAATCAGATCCTGGATACATTTTTACGTATCCTCGCCATTCGTTACGAAATCATTGCCCTACTACCCTGCGGCATCTTGACGACAGAAGGAAAGGGATTCCAAGCCTGCTTTGGTGTGTGTTCGTCCATTGCGGAATCGAACCTCCGTCCGGATCTGTATTTGCTCCTATCCGTCATATTACGCCCTGTTTCAGTCGTCCGTCGCTTTCTCCACCTGCATTGTCCGTCCGCAGCGAATAGCTGTTGCTGCTGCTCTTATAGGTGAGTGTTCAATTACGAAGATCGTTGGGTTTTAAATTCGAATTATTCATCCGTTGGCGGATATGGTGAAGCAGGAGCTAATCATATACTCGTTGCAGAATTCTGTCATGATACTCAGAGATCTCTCGGCAACAAATATGGGCCGTGGTGCATACGATACGACGGGTGTCCCCAAGCCGCAACAACCACCGAAACCACGGTAACTCATCGATCCGAACTCAATTGTGCAGCGCCCAAAATATATCCCTTATAATCGAATTTTTTTGTCCTTCAACGCCATTCTTTTGATGCGGCACAACCCGCAGAAAAACAACTCTTTCAACATACCGGACGAATGCAATTGGTCGAACCATGTGCCACGTCTCTTTTTTCCGCCGGTGCTTTCTTCGTCAGCGCTGCTTACGATTGTGTCAAATCAACATACGTTTCCAAAAGCCAGGAGTCGCACCGCCTGGTTTACGCCTAATATTCCCCGTTGCCGAATACGGTTCCTCTAATAGCTTGCCTCACACCGCCTCCATATCGCCATTACTCCGTGTCTCGTCTTGAATGTTTTCCAACCTTTTCGCACGTCTTTTTTATCCGAACGACCATACATCGATTTTATCTCGCTTCTCCCCCCTTGTGATACCAGAATGACACATCTGTTTTTTCCGGCGTTTTTAAAACATAGACGGCTGGGGGTTATCTGTTGCTTTGTCTGCTTTCCTTTTTTGCTTTGTGGGTTGGCAGCATATACCAGCAAGATTTATTAGATTTTCATTTGGCTTCGCAGCCACTTCCGTTCCTCACCCTCTGTTCTATACAAAATCTCCGTTTTTCGCCCGCATTTGAGCGACTTTTTAATCCTGTTTTGTGCTTTATACTCTGTACAACACTACTAGCAATGTGGGTGTGGGCAAATCATCGGTCAGGCGCCGGGAATCGCTCGTTTTGTTCCGGGTGAGGTGTTGGTGCCTCGGTATTCTGCATTGCTTTTCTAGTTCCTTTTTCCTTTGTCGGGCCTTTCTGTGAATTTTGAAAGATACGCATTAACGATTCCCCTTTCTCTGAAGATTGGAGCAGGATCTCCTCATGTCCCTTTAGGTAGAATTTTCCTATATTCCCTATTTCCTCTTTCATCTTGGTTTTCCTTTCAAGGGGCCGTACTTGATAATAATGACAATGTGACTGCTTGTTTTAATTTTACCTATCATCAGTGGTCTTATAAATCGCTCTCCCATTTTAATCTCCGCTCGCGTGTAACCTGTCAGCAAGGCACGACTGCTTCAGAGCCTCGAAACAAGAATTTCGGCTTTCGGGGGCGGAACGGGTTTTCCGCAGGCGCAATCCCGGCGGCCATGTGCCCGTAGACATAAAATGCTCAGAGTCAGCCAGTCCCTCATCGCTCCCTGGCCGTCCTTCTCTGCCTTGCTCTCAAACCCTTGGCCGGCCGAACCTGGCCGCTATCTTCACAATAGGTCACGTGTACTTTTTTTTTTCCCCTTGGCGTTGGTGACCGTCGTCATCACGCTGGGGGACGGCTATGCTAGTCCCGATGAGGTTAAGCGCCCAGCATCCGCTGGCCTCCACACCTGCTCGTCGCATCAACCTCTCAGTAGGCAGTCGTTCATCGCCGAAGCTCTTCGTTCAACGTGCTCAGCATTCATATCCTTATATTTTTTTTTTTCTTTTGAAATTCTTGGGAACACTTGGGCTAGAGGTCACTCTACTATCGAAAAGGTCCTTGGCTTTTTAGATATCATCCTTTCTTCCCGTTTCCTGTTTATACGACAACTCTCCTCTTTTATTCTGCCTACCTGCTCCAGAACAGAGCGTGGTCGTCCTTCGGATATCAAGGCCCTGTTGCCTAATAACTAGCTCTTGATCGCGAGGGCCTGGATTCTGCTGTGTCCTTTCAACTTCTCTACACGACTTATTGTCCATTTTCCAGGACACAATGTCCGAGCCTACTGCGACACCCGGTCCCAAGCCAAGTAGCAGTGTTAAGCTGGTTCTCCTTGGAGAGGCTGCTGTTGGAAAGGTATTTTCAGCGCAAGAAATCTAGGATAGTGCCTGCAAAGTACCTTACTGACTTGAGACGTGGCTTAGTCCTCCCTCGTCCTTCGATTCGTGAACAATGACTTTCAAGAGAATAAGGAGCCCACTATCGGTGGTATGTGCTACACACCTATAACGGGAATCCTAGGTTTTCTAACGTAGGGTATTTCTTGTACAGCTGCGTTCTTGACCCAGAAATGCTCCCTCCCAACGCGCACAATCAAGTTTGAGATCTGGGATACCGCGGGCCAGGAGCGGTTTGCTTCCCTCGCCCCGATGTATTACCGAAACGCACAGGCTGCCCTTGTTGTCTACGATCTTACCAAACCTTCCTCCCTCACAAAAGCGAAGCATTGGGTTGCCGAGCTCCAGCGACAAGCAAGCCCGGGTATCGTCATTGCATTGGTCGGTAACAAGCTCGACCTGACGAATGACGGTAATGGTGAGGGTGCGGTATCGGCCACGGACGCAACAGGCGTCGATGGGTCGCCAGCAGCAGACGCCGATGGTGGTGATGAAGGTGAGAATGAAGGAGAAGATCAAACCACGGCTGGCGATGCAAGAAAGATCTCTACACAGGAAGCCAGCTCATATGCAGACGACGAGGGCCTTCTATTTTTTGAAACCAGCGCAAAGACGGGAGTAAACGTTGCGGAGGTTTTCACTGCCATCGCCAATGCCATTCCGGAAACCAGCCTCAAGAGCTCAAGAGGGGCGGGAGCTGGCGCCGGTGCCGGTCACACTGCTTTGGGAGCTGGAAGACCAGGGGAAGATACACGAGTCAATCTCCGAGATCGCGGGGCAGCTACGGCAAAGGAAGGTTGTGCTTGTTAATGGGTCATAACCTCTGTCTTTGCTTGTTATTTTGCATCGTGTGGTCACCTTGCTTTCGTCGCATATATCAATGGGATTTCCTGGCAGCGCCTCTTCGTCTTTTCTTGTGATAATGGCGGGTATTGTTACAGTTTGTCTTATTACAGCTCTTGTCTTGTTTAGTCAGGATAGAAGAGCGAATGACTTGAACGTTATGTTCATTCATGAACGATTCTTGTGATTCTGCTCATGATAATATTGCGCTTCCTACTTCTATTCGTCTGATATTTTGTGATCAAGACTTTCCAGTTATGAAAAGAAGAGGGAACAACTACGTCATCAAATCATGCCCTCCATTCCATGTTCAAGGGATTCAGTAATAAATAATTATTTTTTTTCCATTCAATATTAGGGAAGAACAGTGTATCAATGCTGAACGGGATGCACACTTCCTTGTCCACACAAATCTCCCACCTTCGCCAAACAACAAACTCAACAAAAGAAAATAAGAAACAGGAAAGACTTTAAGAAAACAAGTAGATAACAATATTGATCAATGCATGCAAACCAGGAAGTCACAGTAAGCATCCCAGTTGCAACATACACGCAACCTTTCCTCTCCCGATGCACCAACTCTGTGTAATTAGAGTCCGAAAGACCCAACAGGAAATAGCAAAAGATTACACCGAAACTGAACGCCTCGCTTTCCCCAGGGGTGACCATCTCGCTTTTTACCGGGGTATTATGCTCGACTACCAAAGCTTCTCCACGCCCCTAGCTCCGGCATCTTGAAGCGTGCTTCTCTCAGGTCGAAATAGGTAAGTAATGCCGAACTTTGGGAGACAACATAGTGGCATAATTGACACTATCCCCCAACCGTGCATCCTTTCTTTGGACATGATTGCCCCTTGCAATCGCCCCTCATCTCAGCGCACGGACGATATTCCTTTGTCAAGAAGTGACATCATCTCCGCGACACCTGAGAATCCATACCATCCAGCCCATCCGCAGCATCGATCCATCCGTACATTAGTCCATTCGCGACAGTAGCAGCCATCCAGATCATAGCCCACCCCATCGCTCCCTTCATCTCCACCCCACTGATCGTACCCACAAGCCGCACCACAGTATTCGCCAAGATAATCGTCGCCAAAAGCGCCGTTCGCGCAATCAAGGTCTTCCTTTTCACGGAGAGCGTCACCCAGAACCTTCGGTACAGGGATGTTACGAACAATTCCCCATCGCGCTCCTCGTACGCCGGGCCCGAATCCTCGGCATGAGGCTGGCCGATAGAGCTCACAAATAGGAAGTCCCGCACCGCGGAGCCGGCGGGCAAGAGGCTAAGGAACATCGGAATAAGACCCTTCGCACCTTCGTGCGCGGCTTGTACGCTAGGTAGACCCTCGAAGAATGTGACCAGGAATGAAGGTAGCCACGTCGCAAAGCTAATGTAGAGGATGACCGTGTAAATAGCTGTTGCGACGAACGTGGTGTAGACTGCAGTTGGACGGTCGGTGAGGATAGGACGGTCGTATGCAGTGCAGTCCGTGTGGATGACGTTGGTGCGCCGGAAGTAAAGAAATGGTGCGGTGGTTGAAAGTATGGTTATCGCGGCGACAGTGAGGATCGTTGTTGGTCGTAGGCCATAGAAGGCATAGAGCAGAATGTAAGTGGGAAAATTGATAAGTCCAATGAAGTTGGCGACATCTCGAGCTGTATTACGACTGCAATGAGAACTTGTTCGCGCATGCACATGGGATGTTCTACAAAAGATGCAGAACGCCATAAGAAATCTCACCATCATATTCCAATGCCCACAAGGCACCAATCTCTAGAACCCTCCATCCCAACAGCGCCGCAACATGTACCCACGAATCCAGATGCTTGCTCGTCCACGCTAGATCCCCCCGTGTGATTGGCACACTCAGTGAAAAGAGCACCGTGCTGAGACCAAGGCTGCTAAGCGTCACAGCCACAAATTTAAGAAATGAGCGCATGCAAGAATCCGCCTTCTGCTCTTTTGGCGATGGCAATGCGGCCTTGGTGGTGGTTTTGCGTCTTCGAGGGCTCGGGCCACTCGTGGATGTTGTCGTTGATTTGCGGCCCATTTTAGTTGACGCTCATCAACGAGGTAGGGAGAGAGGTGGAGGTGAAATTAACGTGACAGCAGAGTTTATACCAATTGAGCAAGTATTAGCTGAGAAGTATCTGGATGATAATATATCTGTCCATTGATAGGCAATCGTCGCAGGATTTGCCTTGGGATCTGTGTGTTTGGGAGCTGCCGGGTCCTGTTTTGGCGCGCGCAGGTCCGGAGCGGAAGGGAAGTGATGTCACAATGTTTTGGGGCAATCTGCCTTTCATTGGCTGAGCTTATTTTGTGATGCTTGAACACTGGCGGAAGGGCCATTACTGCACCATCAGCCTTGTCGCTTAAAGATGCACTTTAGATGGTTATTCATGAAGGTACTTCCTTAATGTACAGAGTATACGGAGTACACAGTATACAACGATAGAAGTAAGAGGTTATTGACAGCAATGCTAGGAAAAAAAAAAAAAAAAAGGGGGAAAAGGATAAGAGGTTTGGTGAAGCCGCCATGTGAATATTTCATTGGTCTGAACTTCTGAAGAACCACAACATTCCCAAAATATTACAGCAACCTAACTAGGAATCATGTGAGAACTATGATCCAAAATAGAGAACTGTTGAGGCATTGTTGAGTTCTTGTTGCTTGTCCAAAAACACCTTCTTTCGTGAAATAAGCTCAATTGTAGAACTTGCTGGTCATGTGAACTTGCATCCTAGCTTAGTGAATAACAAGCATACAAGTCCTCCATCAGATGACAGAAGAAACGTTTGTCACAGGCTCGATCAATCATCACCATCATCATCCTCCTCACCCTCAGGTTTAACCACGCCAATTTCCAATGTACCAGTCTCTCTTCCCTTGCGATCACGCATGATAGCTTTGAACTTGCCGCCGTGCCAGAAATCTTTTACAGTGACTTCACGAGTTCTGCCCAAGCTCTCGATGTCGGAGATGCGATCCAGGGTAGCTTCGAGGTGCTCTTCGAATCCAGGCTCGGAGCAGATCTCTCGAAATGCGCGCTGCATCGGAACAGAATCTGCCCGCACCATTGCCCTGGAGTCGATCGTAAATATATTGTCGTGGTCGTAGCTTTGGATAAAATCGGCTCTAGTCATCACTTGCCGTGCTTTGTGAAGTGGGAGTTCTGGAAGTATGTGACCTTTTTCGGGGTCATAGGTGGATTCCATATCCTTTTCCAAATCAACAAGGGCTTTGGCGAGAACCATAGCGGCAGACTGGTTAATTTAGTCAGTAAAGTCGGAAATGTAGACCTCAACACGTGGTGACCTACGGAATATTTTTGTTCATCCATTACGTCGTCGTCCATTTCCTCTCCCAAAATCCAGCATTTGTTCAAGAACCATGTCTTCTCGGCTTGGCAAATCGCGTCGCAGGCCGCGATCATGTCTGTGGCCTTGGCAACTCGGTTCAAAAATGTTAGCCTTCCACCAACTTTGTCGTATATTTCTTCCAATATTTCCTTCGGAGTAGTTTCATTGAGGTACTTTGCGCGGAACTGGTAAAGCGCTCTCATTGCTTTGTCTTTTGGAAGGTCCGGGACTGGGATAACTTCCATTCGAGAAGCATAGCGCTTGAGGCGCTCATAAACCCAGTAGTCATCGCTATTGAAGACTTTTTGGAATGCCGTTAGATTGAATGATCGCCAATTTCAGGGATTAAAAAAGCCAAAAAAAGAAAAGAAACATACCTATTGTTATAAGATTGCTTGCAGCCCATTGCTCTGCTCGCTGCTGGAGCATCTCTAGAAGATCGCGCCCATCCTCGTCGTCACTGACCAAATGGGTGCTATTGACTATCAGGATCAAGGGCGTTTTGCTCTTTCTCCTTCTCCGTAATGCAACTTTTTCTAATTTATTAAGGGCCCGCTCAATATCGAGCAGCGCTGTTGTATCACGTGGTCCCCGAATACTGAAAAGGCTGCCTATGTAGCTGAAAAGAGGATGGGGACCCTCAGCATCCAAACGAAGTTAGATCAAGGTAGGTAAACGTACTCTTCATGGTACTCAAAATCCAGGGCCTTTCCTAATCGAACCCGAAAGATTTCAAGGTCTGCATGGGCCTCGAACATGGCAACTCCGGCGCCATCGATCTTTCGCATGGCGTCAAGGATCATGGAGCTTTTCCCGGTCCCTTTCTCTCCGATCAGAAGAAAATAGCGGCCTTTGGTAGTGCCATTGATTATTTCATCGACTCTAGTTTGCTCTTCACGCTGAATCCAATGCGTTGTGTCGCTTCCCTCCGTTCCCATTGACGGGGCTACACCGGCGACTTCCAGCACAGGGTCTCCGGGATTGAATGCGTTATCCATTTTCTTAAGTACTAAATATTTATAATACTTGTAGTAAGAATAGCCGGCAAGACTGGAGACGGTCGGAAAGTCAGAGATCTTATTGCGATGTCCGCACGGAAGACTATTTCCTTACCCTAATACAGCGATTGAAGCGAACGTGGTTGCTGCAGACTCAAACATCCGCAGAAGCGTAGACCTTAAAGTGGGTTCATCAGACCTGGAATCCCTTTCTGGCATCTCTGGAGTCTCCTGGCCGGGCTGAGGAGGACCGCCAGGGCTGAGGTCTTGGGAGCCATAGAGGCGGATCCGGTTCACTGTCCATGGCGCATAATTAGGGCGAATGAAACTTCTTCCAGCACCAAAGACAGCCCGTGTGCGCAGCAAACCCAATGGCATAATGGATCTTTGAACATGGGCTGAATGTCAATCTCACAACTCGTTATCCGTAATCAATGGTATCTGATAAGAACAATCAAATAGCCCCCCTGTTACACCGATAAAAAGAAGAATGCACCCCAATATACGTCACCAGCATAAGTCAAGTAACCAAACCGCAAATAACAAGAACAAGGAAAGGAAATAAAAAGAGCGACTGCCAGGCCGGATTAACACAGCGATGGCCCAAACGAACGTGATTGATTTTTTTGTGAAGCTTTGCGAATAACCCAGCAGCTCCCTCGGGCCGCTAGTTAGCCACTCCAGCTGTGCCACATCTCGCCCCTGACTCGCTCACGTGGCTGATAAGATCGGGCCCAAACTCCGGGATCTTCAGCCTTCGCTCCGATCCGCCTCCCAGCGCAGTTAAGTCTGCTCCAGCTATCGGTCAAATCCAGAGGAAACAAATCGTCTGGTTGTATATATTGTTTATCCGCAGAATGAAGGTTGAGACTCTGCTCGAGATCTTAACCTCTTGGCATTTCGTCGCGGCCACGAGAGCTCGGCAATCATCGCATTTTTTTTCCCCACAAGTTGCAGGGAGCTTGAGTATATGCATATGTATATGTGTGCGCTCAGTACCTACCGGGGGGGCGCACATGCGCATCATCAAACGGGCGAGAAAGGAACATCTGTTTTCCCGGGATGGCGATGACTCTTCCTGCCTAGTTGATGCGTGGAGATTCGCTTCCCGGCATTCTTCAATATTAGCAAGCAGGGATTCTCACTCAACACTCGACAGGGGGCGATTCGCTCGTTGAACATTGAGTTATCACCTTGAGACGGACTAATGTAGCAGCAGAAATTTTCACACCGTACGGGGTACTAACCACATCTCTGGTGTATTTTGCAGGCCGTCTCTCTAGCGCTAGTTGATTCGGCTCGTATCCTTCGGTCCCTAGGTGTGATGCAATGCGAGAAAGTTGCTTGGGAGACGCACATAACATCCTTTTTTGAGCATGTCGCGATTAGCGGAAAATGCCTGCAAAGCGTCCAAAACGCAATGCGATTGCTTCAGTCGCCGCGGCCTACTGTTTCGATATTGGCGGGAAGCCAAGGTCTCTTAAAACGATCAAGCCAGCAACCAGCAGCAGCGCCTTGATGGTTTCAGACGCAAGCTGGTTTCGGAGTAGAAATCCGCACACAGAGCTCTGAAGGATCAACCATTCTGGTCAACCCCAGTAACTGGCTTAAATTATTATCTCTGGCCACCGTTTATATGCGGGATCGCTAGCTCGATTGTTATCAAGAGCCCCGTCGATCCAATACTACTCTATGTGTTGCTCAGCGGAAACGTCCACATGACTCCCGCAAAGCCATCCAGCTGAATGGGAGGCAAATTAAGGGTAGAACCGACATCCACCCCATCATAGATCGCAGCTGTCCGGAGAACAGGAAACTTTTGATACTCCTTGCGATCGCAGCAGGCTTTTCCGCCCGTTCAAGGTCAAAGTTTGCTTCGGCTCAATCGGCGGTGCTGGTCCTTCAGCCGAGCGAACCCCATTCGTCCAGCAGCTCGGGCGGGTGACTAAGCCCGTGGGAAGGAAAATCCGGCTCCGTAAAATTTTCTCCCCCGGAGATCATCCAAATTTCAGTCTTTTTTTGCGGATTCGAAGCAAAAACCTCTTTTACATGAAATAATTTTCGTCGAATTGGTCGGTTAGACTGCATATCTTTTCTCAGTTTTTCCTTCTTTTAATATTCTTTATTTGCAGTTTGTACTTTATGGTTCAGTTTCTGTCCCATTCCTGACCTCTTTCGTCATTCATTCTCGGAATCTCGAAAGGGAAGCTTACTTTTGCATCAATTCTCATTTGAGCGCCTCTGGATAAAAATAGCTTTGTCTTAATTTTTATCGAATTGTCCCAATGGAGCAGAACAATGGAACTACTGAACACCCAAAGGGTATGGCCTCGTCTTTCCCTTAATCATGCAATTGGCCGCACTTTCTTTTTTTACTGTTCCTGTACTTGTTTGGCATTATGCTAACCGGTTTTCCACAGAGGTGTTGGACCAAACCAATCCTTCGAACGAGGTGACCGGAGTTCCAAATGGAAACCATGCAGAAGGCGAAGGTGATCAACATGCAGGAGGTTTGCACACCCCGGAGAAAAAAAAAAAAAAAAAAGAAGGCCAATTCCTACATGACTGGAGATCTGACTTCCTCTCTTCTTGAATAGAAGCACCGGGGCTTTTCCAGATCACCGTGAAGCTGCCTCATGAACCCTATAAGATCCAGGTCATGGTTAGTGTGATATCCGTTTGGGTTTGGGAAAATTTAATTGACCTTTTCTTGCGCAGGTATCGAACCAGGAACAGGTTCAGGATGTGCGCCAATCCATCGTCGAGCTACCCGGGACCTTCCAGTATACAAGCTTTCACTTGGAACATAA